TATTATTTTATCCTCATTCTACGTGACTTTACCGAAAGAACGAAATAAGATTAATCCTTGCTGTCACGAAAGCTTTAAATCGAAATTTAACCCAACTCTATTAAATTATAATCATAACATCAACATAACCGTTGATCGTCGCTCGTTTATCCGGCTGCTTCCCAACATTATCCGGTTGCTTTCAACATTATCCGGCCCCTTGCAACATTATCCGGCTGCTTGCAACATTATCCGGTTGCTTCCAACATTATCCGGTTGCTTCCAACATTATCCGGCTGCTTCCCAACATTATCCGGTTGCTTCCAACATTATCCGGCCCCTTGCAACATTATCCGGTTGCTTCCAACATTATCCGGTTGCTTTCAACATTATCCGGCCCCTTGCAACATTATCTGGTTGCTTACAACATTATCCAGTTGCTTACATTATCCAGTTGCTTACAACATTATCCAGTTGCTTACAACATTATCCAGTTGCTTACAACATTATCCAGCCGCTTGCAACATTATCCAGTTGCTAACAACATTATCCGGTCGCTTCCAACATTATCCGGTTGCTTCCAAAAAGTCAAAGAGATCTCTCCCACTTATTCTTGGTTCTTTCGGTAAAGTCACGTAGAAGAAAAATAATAAAATAATAATTTTTTAACAATAAAATTCTCAACGACGTTTCGGCCACAACGCAAGCAGCCATCCTCAGGTGAAGAACACAGAGGCTGTCGGAAAAAAAACAGCGTCCTAATGAACATGTGTCATCAATATGCTAAATTCCTCTGTCGATATGTAAACTCCTTTAGTATATTGATGGCAAATGTTCATCAATATGCCAAATTCCTCTGTCGATATGTAAACTCCTTTAGCATATTGATGAACATGTCATCAATATGCTAACTTCCTCTGTTGATATGTAAACTCCTTTAGCATATTGATGAACATGTCATCAATATGCTAACTTACTCTGTTGATATGTAAACTCCTTTAGCATATTGATGAACATGTCATCAATATGCTAACTTACTCTGTTGATATGTAAACTCCTTTGTCAAGGCGCTCTGCTCCTCCCAACCAGCGTCACAAAAGGTCAGACCCCCCCCCCCCCAAGTATGACGTCACAAAGCTCTGCCCCCCCACCTCCCCCCCCAAAACCATATTTCCATTTTGAAAATAAAACATGCTTCAAGTCGCTTCAAACTATTGTCATTGTAGTGCGTATTTTTAATGTAGCGCTGCACTCTGATGTTGTAGGTAGTGTTGTTATAACACAATTAGTGCTATATTCTTAGTTTTTTCGGTAAAGTCACGTTGAAGAGAAGCAACAAAATAATAAAATATATATAAAACAATAAAAAATTATCACGACGTTTCGACCATAACTCAAACGGTCGTCTTCAGGTGTGTTGGTTCGCATAAATTTATTTTTAAACGGCGCATTTATTTATTTATAAAAAAAACGTTAGCGCCACGCGCAACGATTTGGCAGTTTACCCAGGACTAGTCCATCTATATTCTGAAAAGAGGAGGGGGGAGACATTTTTTATAATGTATGCTGTTTGAAAGCCACTGTAAGCGTGAACAATCAATTAAGACCTGAAATGGTTTATCAAATCTTTCCAATGATTGCTAAGATAGAATCCATCTTCTCGGTTGAAATTGTCTCTGTGCTTGTATATGTGGATAGCCTCATGAACGAATCTCTCATGGAAGCCAGATGGCTTACAAAGAACCTCTGTCTTGGAAAAGTCAATGTCATGTGAGCCTACTGAATTAGAACAATGATCTGCCACGGCCGAGGTGTTGGTCCTACCGTGTTTAAGGTCTGCTTTGTGTTCACGAATGCGGTCCGAGACATGGCGTTTGGTTTCTCAATAAAGTCGTAATTAATCGCAGTAACAGTTCTATTTCCGATGGTCTGAAATCCGTTTTAGCTAAAGGTCTAAACTTTGCAGTCACACCTAAACACATACCAGTTAATGATATAATTGCCCAAGTAGACGTTGCTCTCAGGGGCCTGGGTCACATCGCTGACCATGACGTAACCTGGGCTTGGCTGTCCTCTGGACAGCACGGTCCATGCACCTGATGAAGGCCACTTGTGTTGTGGCCGTAACGTCGTGATTTGTGTTGTTTTATTTTTTTTTACCTACGTGGTGACTTTACCGAATAGAACCAAAGAGTATGCTGTAACGTTCTTAACCAGTGGCCCCTACTGGACATCCATAAACAAAAAAAAATGTTTTTGTTGTTGCTTTACAGCCCCTCGGATGCCTCCTGCAGTAAAAAAAAAAGACTGGCAAGGCTTGAGACTACCAACCGAAGGTGAATGAGCAACGTTCCGATTGTAAGTGCTCGGGAGCAAAAGAGGCGCTGATGAAGAGGTGGATCCCAACGTGGAGCAGCCCGAGTGGAGGAAAAAAGGAGTTTGTGGTTGAGCGGGGCCTGCAGCAAATGTTGTTATAAAAAATATTAAAACGCACGTTTTGAACTTGGCACAGTGAAGCAATTGTATTTTTGTTTTTCATTTTGCTATACGGCCCCAGACAGTACGAAAAAAAATCGCTAATCTTCGACACCCGGTCGTTCGTGAAAGTTGAAGGGTGGTATAGTACTAGAGTAATAGAGCAAGTGCAGAATCACTGAGCCGGAGTCGATAGCTTGCAAGCGTTTATCGCGGGGCCCTTGAAAGTGCGGGGCCCGTAGCATGATGATACTTTTGCTACGAGGAGCATCGGGCACTGCGTGTGAGCGGTGGTGCAGCGGTTAGCGCTGCGCCATGAACCTCGGTGACCCAAGTTCGATTACCCGCTTAGGGCCAACGCCGGTGACGATCATCTCAACCGGTCATGGGCCTCCCCTAGGTCGACTGAGCCTCAAATGAGCACCTCGGTGCTGTGTGTAAAAAACATCGCCACCTGGGAGACAAAGACGGCCCAGGCGTGGTTGCTGGCCACCCACCCCCTCGTGTACCACCGTGCCGGCCTTCAAAGGTGCTCGCTAACAGCACTTGGCCCCCAACAGTCTGTTACAGTCTATCGGGGGGGGGGGGGGGGGGGGTGGATCGTTTGAGTGGGTGAGTGTGTTGTTGTGAGCTGCAGTGTTGGTCGTGGTCGAACACCGCGTGGATGAGACCAGTCAGTCCGGTGGACGGAGCGATCAATGGGTTGAAGTTCACGGCGAACACGGCAACGGCGGTAGCAGCGACAGAAGAGCGAGGGATGGCGGGGAGGGAAAATCGTCGAGTTCTGGATCACCAATCAGGCAAAAGTCGAGGCAGACGCACCCCACTGTTACCTTCAACGGTTTTATTGCCCGTCAAACCATCCACGCAGGGCACATCCCGCGGCAAGCACCGGGGCATCAGGAAAGAAGGGCTACGTAGCCCGGTGGGGCGCTTGTTGGTAAAATAAAATCGAATAAAAACTTCGATTATTTTTAGCCTTGATTGCAGCGGGCTGCCATACACCAACGGAGGTTGCGAGTCGCTGCCCTTCGCAAGGTCGAAGGGATTCCTCATCTCGAGCTGGGCCCGCCGATTATTTAAGTGAAGTATTTCGTGCTGCTGCTGCTGCTGCTGCTGCGGGAAGCGTTTGGCCGACGCCGTTTCACCTGCGGCAAGAAACCGCGGAACACGGCGTAACCGGAACACAAACTCCACTCAAGCAAGCGGGCACCCGGGTCGGGAGTCGAACCCCAGGGCCCCTCTTTACCGTGTGGCACGGGCCTCGCTCACCACTGGGCCGCGCCGATAGCCGTGCAGGCCAGGGGGTCGGCAAAAACCCGCGGCACTTCGAGGACAGTCCGGCGACGTTGTTAACTCAAGGGTCCCACCGTCTCCTATCCGCATTGCATTGCGGCTCGTGAGATATCGGGCTTTTTGCCGACCCCCTGGGGTCCAGGCCCATCTGACCTCTCCGGTTGGCCGAGTAGTGACATTCGCGGCAACTTTGGAAGGAAGGATGCATCATCGCCACATCTCGCCGCATCTTCTGGAGCTTTCTTTCGGAAGCTGGCAAACCACCCTGGGCCTGGGGCCAACCGCGCGGCTGCAATGTCACCCCCTCCCGTTGCGATGACGTACAGCGCGCGCGCATCATCAAAACGCAAACGCGGAGAGGGAAAAAACGAAATGAAGCAAAACTTCATATTATTGGTTCTTTCGGTAAAGCCACCACGTAGAAGGGAAACAATAAAATAATACAAATATAAAACAATTTCCCTTCTACGTGACTTTACACCACTGTTATATTCTTGGTTCTTTCGGTAAAGTCACCACGTAGAAGGGAAACAATAAAATGATAAAAAATATAAAACAATACAATTCTCATATTCTTGGTTCTTTCGGTAAAGTCACCACGTAGAAGGGAAACAATAAAATAATACAAAATTATAAACACAGTACAATTCTCACATTCTTGGTTCTTTCGGTAAAGTCACCACGTAGAAGGGAAACGATAATTCAATCGTCACCATTGCTTGCGTTGCAGTCGAAACGTCGTGAGAATTTTATCGTTTCACATTTTTATTATTTCATAGTTTCCCTTCTACGTGGTGACTTTACCGAAAGAACCAAGAATATATAACAGTGGTGTAAAGTCACGTAGAAGGGAAATTGTTTTATATTTTTATTATTTTATTGTTTCCCTTCTACGTGGTGACTTTACCGAAAGAACCAAGAATATAACAGTGGTGTAAAGCCACGTAGAAGGGAAATTGTTTCATATTTTTATTATTTTATTGTTTCCCTTCTACGTGGTGACTTTACCGAAAGCACCAAGAATATAACAGTGGTGTAAAGTCACGTAGAAGGGAAATTGGTTTATATTTTTATTACTTTATTGTTTCCCTTCTACGTGACTTTACCGAAAGAACCAAGTATATATAACAGTGGTGTAAAGTCACGTAGAAGGGAAATTGTTTCATATTTTTATTATTTTATTGTTTCCCTTCTACGTGGTGACTTTACCGAAAGAACCAAGACTATGAATCCCTGCAGTCACGAAAGCTTTCAATCAAAAGAAGCCGACCTCGTCGGTTGCCGAGGTTCCCGCATGGCCTAGGGCTCGTGGCCACCGGTTTCGGCGGCGCCCACGGTTGTCCGTGACGCCTTCGCGAAATAAAAAAAAACGCCGAGCTTGCCGCTACGCCCCTCCTGAACGAAACTACCGGCGGGCCGTTCCCGCAGCGCATTTCCCGACATTCAGCGGTGTTAACCGGGGTGGTGGTGGAGAGGGGAGGGGGGGGAGATCCCCCCACACCACAACTCGCAAAACGTCTCGGAAACAGGAGAAAGAGGGGGGAGAGGTTAAGGCGAGGACGTCGCCGTCGTCGCCGCCGCCGACGACGACGAAGAGGTGGCGGCCGCCTTCTCCCTGGCCAGCTCGAGGCGATAGCCCCGCAGGAGCACGTTGAGGAGCGTCGACTCCGGGTCGCGCCGCCGCGTCACCAGCGGCGGGTACGGGTTGCCCGCTAGCTCCATCACGGCCATCTGGGCGCGGTCCGTGTTGGTGCGGTTCGGGATCTGGTGCACCGTCACGTAGCCGCCCTCCACGCTCCGGAAGCGCGGGGCCAGGACTTTGAAGAGCTTCGGGACCAGGTCCTTCTCCTGGCAGGGGGAGGAGGAGAGGCGGTGAAGGGTGGGGGGCGGGGGGGGGGGGGGTAAGCGATCGCGTTCGGCTGTGCGTTTAAATCCCCCCCCCCCCACCCCCACCCGTCGATTTGTCGATCCAGGAGTGACGGGACTTATTTGAAAGATTACGGAACTTATTAAAATGTTTGTTTGGGATCGATCGCGGAATGGTTAATGCGTTTAGTTTGTCGTTGTCCTTCCCCCCCCCGCACCTCCGATGAGCACGGCTGGCTACGTACTGCGCGAAAGAAGTTCAACATACATACGCGTTGTTAATATTGTTCGCGAAAGGCTACGCATTAAACCGAAACGATATTATATGTATATTTTTTCTAAAATTATAATTACGCTGCTTTACCCAGAGAAGCATCACCGAGGATCAACACTCTAGACTGGAACATCCGGTGATTAAAGAGCTTCATGGCTCATCGGATTCCTCCAGGCAGTCTAAATAAAGATTCTGATTTTGCGGGGATGGTCCTGACAAGTTTTCGCGGGAGGATGACGATGTTGCTGCTCCTGCTGTGCGTGTGATCCCAATGGATGGAATTTTTCAGCACTGCAATATTTCGCCAAGGCCATTTTCTTTTAGTCGTGGGGGGAATCTGGAGAACTCGTCAATGTTTTTATTTTTATTTTACCAGGTCAGGCACCAAACTGAGCTCTTTTTCAGAAGCGGCCTGCCCAGCGCAGATGATAGCCAGGCGAAGTGGCTTATCGTGCGGAAGTTTACAGCAGAAAAATTACTCTGAACGCATGGTGATGTGGATTCTAAGTGTGCAGGGAAAAAAACGGGGGACCCGGAGAAAAATCCACAGGACCGCCGGGAGAGAGACAAGCAAACTCTAAATATACAGAATCAGAATATTTATGTATACTGGAGGAATCCGGTGAGCTATGAAGGGGTTTTAAAAGCTCTTTTTCACAGATGTCCAGTACAGCCGGCGTCAGGGTCGGGATCGAACCCACGACCTCCTGTATACCCAGCGAGGTAGTTAACATCTCCTAGCCACCGTGATGATGATGAGAGAGAGAGAGACACGCAAACTACAAATATACAGCAGCAGGCATCAGGGTCGGGATCAAACCCACGACCTCCTGCACACCAGGCGAGGTAGTTAACATCTCCTACCCACCGTGATGATCATGAGAGAGAGACACGCAAACTCCAAATATACAGCAGCAGGCGCCAGGGTCGGGATCAAACCCACGACCTCCTGTACACCAGGCGAGGCAGCCAACATCTCCTGGCCACCCTGGCGCCCTACAGAGCGAGGCGGTGCGTCGCACACTGGGGGCCTACCGTGAGCCAAAAGCTGGCGATCTTCATGGCAGTTTCATCCCCGTCACCGCGCTTGGCGTAGTCGATGAGCTGCGGGGGGGGCACGCGGGGGGAAGAGGGGAGAGAGGAGAGGTTTGAAAACACAGGGCACGCACGGCGGTCGGCGTCAACGCGGCAGGGTCACGATCGACCCCACGACCTCCTGTAGACCAGGCGAGGTAGTCAACATCTCCTAGCCACCGTGATGATGATGAAACAGAGACACGCCATCTTGCCACCGTGACCTGCCGACGGACCAACTGCGGCGTATCCGTTGACACTGCAGGCTGGGCAGAGGGGGCGTGGGGGGAGGGATGGCCACGGCGGGAGATCGAACCAGAGCCGGCGACCTCCGGTGGTGCGCTAGCCGCGACGCCCATGGCAACGGCCGCCCCCCTTGGGGGTCACCATGCCGACGGCGATGGTAACTGGGGCAGGGGGGGAGATGAGCGGCGGCTTAGCTTAGAGACGAGGCGACCGCGCGGTGGGGAGGTGGCATCGATCGCGCTTGGCGGGTGGCGGCTGCCCAACGGCGCCAATCTCCTTACTCCAGTACGTGTTGAGCACAGGGACTCCTCTCCTTACGGACATTCGACTTGCGAACTTTCAGAGATACGAACAAAATCCGGTCCGTGTGTCCAGTTGCCCGTTCGGAACCGAGTCGTAAGTTTCAACCGAAGCGCAATAAATGGCGGTGGTGGCATCTGCATCTGCAGAGCGTGAAGAACCAGTGGCGTCTGCATCTGCAGAGCGTGAAGAATCAGTGGCATCTACATCTACACAACGTGAAGAACCAGTGGCATCTACATCTGCAGAACGTGAAGAATCAGTGGCATCCACATCTGCAGAACGTGAGGAACCAGTGGCATCTACATCTGTAGAACGTGAAGAACCAGTGGCATCTACATCTGCAGAACGTGAAGAACCAGTGGCATCTACATCTGCAGAACGTGAAGAACCAGTGACATCTACATCTGTAGAACGTGAAGAACCACTGGCATCTACACCTCCAGAACGTGAAGAACCAGTGGCATCTACATCTGCAGAACGTAAAGAATCAGTGGCATCTACATCTGCAGAACGTGAAGAACCAGTGGCATCTACATCTGCAGAACGTGATGAACCAGTGGCATCTACATCTGCAGAACGTGATGAACCAGTGGCATCTACATCTGCAGAACGTGAAGAACCAGTGGCATCTACATCTGTATAACGTGAAGAACCAGTGGCATCTACATCTACAGAACGTGAAGAACCAGTGGCATCTACATTTACAGAACGTGAAGAATCAGTGGAGTCTACATCTGCAGAACACAAAGAACAAGTGGCATCTACATCGGCACAACATGAAGAACCAGTGGCATCTACATCTGCAGAACGTGATGAACCAGTGGCATCTACATCTGCAGAACGTGAAGAACCAGTGGCATCTACATCTGCAGAGCGTGAAGAACCAGTGGCATCTACATCTGTAGAACGTGATGAACCAGTGGCATCTACATCTGCAGAACGTGAAGAACCAGTGGCATCTGCATCTGCAGAGCGTGAAGAACCAGTGGCATCTACATCTGCAGAGCGTGAAGAACCAGTGGCATCTACATCTACAGAACGTGAATAACCAGTGGCTTCTACATTTGTATAACGTGAAGAACCAGTGGCATCTACATCTACAGAACGTGAAGAACCAGTGGCATCTACATCTGCAGAACGTGAAGAACCAGTGGCATCTACATTTGCAGAACGTGAAGAACCAGTGCCATCTACATCTGCAGAACGTGAAGAACCAGTGACATCTACATCTGCAGAACCTGAAGAACCAGTGACATCTACATCTGCAGAACCTGAAGAACCAGTGGCATCTACATCTGCAGAACCTGAAGAACCAGTGACATCTACATCTGCAGAACCTGAAGAACCAGTGGCATCTACATCTGCAGAACCTGAAGAACCAGTGACATCTACATCTGCAGAACATGAAGAACCAGTGGCATCTACATCTGCAGAACGTGAAGGGCCAGTGTTGTCTACGTCTACAGGAGATGATACAACTTGTAAAGCCATTCCCCGTGTTGAGTGTACACGCCGTACAACATATTTGGAAACATATTTGGAATCAACAGGAATGAAGTCGAACAAATCGACTTACGAACAGACCTCTGGAACCTAACTGGTTCGTAATAAGAACAGGAGTCCCTGTGTCGGTCCCGGGTTTGAGTTCGTGAGCCGTGCGAGTGATGGATAATGGCTTCGCAAGTGGCGCGGTGCCCTAGGCTGTCCGGCGTGGTTACTAAAACGATTCAACTAAAACTCCCATCATAGAGGTTTGTGGGTTAGATCGTGTAAATATAAATGTGTCGTTAAACCCACCACCTCCAATTAGTAAGGTTTGTCACGTAAACAAAACATGCCAATTCTAACATCATCATCATGAGGACAGCCATAGCTGTAGACAGTCGGAGTCTGCCTAATGCTGCTCGTTGTTGTTGTAATTATTGGCGAAACGTCACGGGACTCGAATTGTAAATGTTGTAGTGGGTTTACTACACTATACACTACGCTATACACTACACCACTATACACTGCACTACTATACACTACACTATACACTACACTACTATACACTACACTATACACTACACGACTATACACTACACTATACACTACACTATACACTGCACTATACACTGCACTACTATACACTACACTATACACTACACTATACACTACGCTATACACTACACTACTATACACTACACTATACACTACGCTATACACTACACTACTATACACTACGCTATACACTGCACTATACACTGCACTATACACTACACTATACACTACACTATACACTACACTATAATTGTAAATCTTGTAGTGGGTTTACTCTCCAACACACAATCGGTGTGCGCTGAACTAGAATACTACACTTTACACTACACATTACACTTTACATTACACTACACACTCCACGATACACTATACACTACACTCTAATTGTAAACGTTGTAGTGGGTTTACTCTCCAACACACAATCGGTGTGCGCTGAACTAGAATACTACACTTTACACTACACATTACACTTTACACTACACTATACACTCCACGATACACTATACACTACACTATAATTGTAAACGTTGTAGTGGGTTTACTCTCCAACACACAATCGGTGTGCGCTGTACGAGTAACGAACTGGCCACGTTTTGTTCACGTGACAGATCTTACTAATTGGTTGTGTCGGGTGGTGGCAGGTTTAACGACACATTTATATGTCCGCGCTCTAACCAGGAAACCTCTATTATGGATAACTCGCCTCTTGCCCGTCCAAGGATGGGTGTATTGCAGTATGCTAGATTTGAAGCTTTCGTGACTGCAAGGATTCATGCTCTTTGATATTATTCGGTAAAGCCACGTAGGTAAAACAAATTAAAATAAATTTAAATGAAATGAAACAATTAAAACACGACGTTTCGGAGGCAACGCAAGCTTCCGTCTTCAGGTGGGACCAGTCACAGCAAAATCGCTGCGCGGCGATTTTGCTGTGACTGAAGACGGAAGCTTGCGTTGCCTCCGAAACGTCGTGTTTTAATTGTTTTATTTCATTTAAATTTATTTTAATTTGTTTTACCTACGTGACTTTACCGAATAAAACCAAAGAGTGTGTATTGCAGTACATCTGAAACTTTGCAAAGCGTAAAGCACAGGGCGCGACGTGATGTATTCATTGCATGAGTGCGCGTGCAGTTTGTAAGGGCGCGGTGACGCGGACCTATTTCATTGAAAGGTTATAATCACCTTGTTCATCACGACGTCCTTTTTACTTCGATGTCTCAACAGCAGCGTCACGGAGATCACGTGACGTGATGAGGGTTCTGCCTTTGTAGTGAGGGTTGTGAGTTGACGCCGAGGGGGGGGGGGGGGAGGAGGCGCCTCGCCCCCCCCATGTGGAGTGACGTCCGCCGCTAATTATTATGAATGGGGGGGGGGGGGGTGTGCATTTGGAGGACGTCATCTGCTCATGATTATTAATGAGGGGGGCTGTTCAATGTTGAGTGACGTCACCTACTCATGATTATTAATGAGGGTTGGGGGGGGGTGTCCATTTGGAGGACATCACCTGCTCATGAATATTAATGAGGGGGGCTGGTCGATGTGGAGTGACGTCACGAGCGTTAAGGACAGACGTTCCTGGGTGATTATAGGAGGTATATTGGTCGTGAAAGCCTACTCCTACTAGGTGTTAAATTAAACAAATTGTTTTTTTTATTTTACCAGGTAAGGCACCACTGAGCTGTCCATATTTTTTTCAGATGCGACGTGGGCATCACAAATGATAGCTCACCCAAGTGGCTCATCGTCGCGTAGGAATTTATAGCAGCGGCCAAATAACCCCTAAACACGCGACGTTGATTCTAAAACGTGGAGAGAGAAAAACCGGAGGAGCCGGAGAAAAATCCACGCGACCACGGTGATAACGACACGCAAACTCCAAATACAGCAGCCAGGCGTCAGGGTCGTGGTCGACCCCACGATCTCCTGTATAATAGGCGAGGGAGATAACATCTCCTAGCCACCGTGATGATGATGAGAGACACGCAAACTCAAAATATACAGCAGCAGGCATCAGGGTCGGGATCGAACCCACGACCTCCTGTACACCACGCGAGGTAGTCAACATCTCCTAGCCACCGTGATGATGATGATGGAGAGACACGCAAACTCAAAATATACAGCAGCAGGCGTCAGGGGTCGTGATCGACCCCACGACCTCCTGCATAACAGGCGAGGTAGTTAACATCTCCTCGCCACCGTGGTGAGGGTGGCCACAGGCACTGCACTGTGGCTCACCAACCGTGGATGTCCCACGCGTGGGAGGGGCGTGCCCAGCAGCGGGGGGGGGGGGGGGGACGCCGCTATGAAGTGGGCGATGGAAGCAACCGCGGTTGCTTTGGCAGATACGGGGAAGTGGTGGGGCCCTCGATGGCTCTATGAGAGCCAAAGATCTCCTGTGCAGCCTTAACAGACTGTTGGGGCAAATGCTGTTATTAGCG